AAAAAAAAAAAAAAAAAAAAAAAAAAAAAAAAAAAAAAAAAAAAAAAAAAAAAAAAAAAAAAAAAAAAAAAAAAAAAAAAAAAAATAGCAAAGTAATGGCAAAACAATGGCAGCTTTTGTACACAGCATATAGGCATAGCCGTGTGCGTATTCGCGAAGAAGAAGTATTATACCGCGTTATAATTATTGTTGTCGGTCGAGCGTCGCTTGATTCAACGTGTCGCTGTATATATTGTACCTTAGGTCGTGCTTTGAATATACATACATGTTTCTTTATTTTTGTACGCATCCGATATTGTTTTAAACGTGTTTTATCGCCACATAAATGATGTAAAATCATCGATGGATTTATCTATTTTTCCATTCATTATTCCTTGAAACTATCCAACTCACTGGATTAGGTGTTTTTCTTACAACTCGAGTGTCATTCGGCAATCCATCTAATTAAAACTTTTAAGGTCACATTTTTTTTTTGTTTTGTTTCTGCTTACACATAAATACTTTTATTTTATTTCATGCATGTGTATAGAGAGAGGGAGAACGAGCGGATAAACGATTCGCAATTAAAAATAAATTAAACGAGCTCGCGAAATCCCACGGTACGACAGATAAGAATAAACACACGTGTATATACGCGCATAGCGAATCAAGGGAAGGGGAAGCGGGAGAGAGTCGAATGAATGGATATGCATGAATGGAGGTATACCTATATGTACACGTACACGGTTCCGTCACCCCACACACGTCGCGATTCCCGCGGGAGACGCACCTGCGGGCCCACCCTGTCGTGGCTGCTCTCTTTTTCTCTCCCTTATTCACTGCTCGAGTAATTACGAGCGGCGTGTACGAGGGGGTGGACAGAGAAGAGGGACGCGCCCCCCTAACTATTTAATTAAACCCACTCGTGGATGTGGACGAGAAAAGGAGGGACCGACTGCGCTTGGTTTATACTTTTGGGTGTCTTGCGTTGAGTTTTATTAGGTTCGCATTTTTTATACATTAAAACTAGTGGTTTTCCATTCTTTCCAAAGGTTTTTCCCGTTTCTCCAGTGACGGGAATCATTCGGCAGCCATAAAGTGCCCACGTAAAGAAGTACAATAAAATATATACAGGAGCTTAAAAGAAAAAATTCTTGTTTTATCTATATGTATTGTGATTCGAGGAATTATTCGTGCATGTACAAATAAATATATATTTGTAATTTTAATCTTTTAATGATAAAAGTACGGAGAAATTTTATTATTTGCATCACAATGCTCGTGAGAGCTTTCTCGTTTCGAGACATTTGAAAGCTTGTCATAGGTGTGTAAAGACCTTACAAACTGATGTCCCCACTACAAGAAACTACGCTTAAGCAACTACGGCTGCCACGATATTTTATTAATACAATTAATTCAAGATTTAATTATTTTCATGTACACTTTATCATTTAATGAAGATTAAAAAAAATTCATTTCGTAACTCCAACATATGTTTCATCTGTACATTTGTTAATATAGAGCACTGATTTTGTTTTGTGAGTACTTTCGAAACTTATACCATTAAGGTGTATACGCACAGTAATCAAAAAGTATTGTAGTGACCTATACATATACTGACAAATCACGTACGTAAAGCATAAATAAAATTTTAAAACAAGTAATTGTTTCGTTCAAACGCTTTATAAAAATTAACCAACCACCACAAAGTGTTTTTTCGTAACCAAATTACTCATTGAGCCTTGAACTTCTCTTCAAAGTATATTTTTCCTTGAAAAACTCGGAACCCAGAAATTTATGTAATCAATTAACTCATAAGTACCCACCTAATGAATCGTGCCACCACCAACACACACTCACAAACACTTGTATATTACCATGAAAAACCAACGACATGATATAACGATTTTATATTGTGCAAGTATGAGTAATGAATAATCCGACTTTCTGTTTCGTTAGAATGACGAGATGATCGCAAGTCTACCGGTAAACGGTAGCGGAGGAGGAGGAGGGGGAGGCAGTGTCGCCAGCAGCGGAGGAGTCGTCAATAGTTCCGGTGGGCTCTTTGCCAGTCCAGGCAGCCGGTCTGGACGTGGTTTAACGCTGCACCGGTCCAACTCGAGCTTGGAGCTGCCCCACAGCCCCGACCCTGGCTCGCGCATCCCCGAGACGCCTCTGCGACGCGAGTATGGATCACACGGTACGTCTTTTTTTTTTTTTTTTTTTTTTTTTTTTTTTTTTTTTTTTTTTTTTTCTTTGAGAAGCGAGGGATCAGTTGAATTCCATACATTTTTCTGGTTGATTTAAATTTAATTATGTACACCGTGAAAATTCATTGCTCGAGCATTAACGAAATCTACGTTTCGTAATTTAAGATTTTTTTCTTACAATATGTGGCGTGAAAGTTGGAACTGTTTGTGCAATAACGTGACAGAAACATACGATTCACCGATCACGTACTCAAACACGATGATTAACGTACCTTTTAAGCCATATTTTTCGACAATCGCTATCACTGTTTGATAATTCCATCGTCCAACTGTATGTTTTTAAGTAATTGTCTCACGAATGGTGAAAGAGGAAGTAGGATGCATTGTCAGGCACATGTATGTGTTTTTTTTCTTATCTCTTTTCGAAACGAAAATTCTCATTGGTCGGTTACTTAAATATACCAAAGATATTGGATATCGGTTCGTTAACGGTTCATTAGTACCTCCGAACTATGTACTCGATGGACTCATACAGTATACGTACGATAATTAGTCTTGTTACGGTTCTGTTCATCAACGTGCGTTCCACGTGCTTGTCTTAAAACTTTTTGAAAAATTCCAATGGAGTTTGAAATGGAAGATGATGGTTAGTGCGCGATTTGTGAATACTGTATCAATATCTTCGTTTTTTAAGATTTCATTGTCATCCCAAGATTTGCACAAACAGTTCGGGCTTGAAAACTAAAAAGAATTCATCAGAAATATAGTTAAACGCGAACAAAAATACAAAACACCATGATTTTTGAAAATTTTTTTGTTTTTGTCCTGCATGCCTATACTTTACAACGAAAAAGGATTCATGCTCGGTAAGACAGGGCAGTTTTAAATCGTAACATCGAAAATCGCTTGAATCGCATTGGAGTAACTAGAGCATCTTTGATTCATAGTAGTTTTTCAATGTGAGACTACATGGTTGTACATTCACTGTAAATTCGAGTGTGTTAAGATGACGCGTTTAAATATTATTATTATTATTATTATTATTATTATTATTATTATTATTATTNAAAAAAAAAAAAAAAAAAAAAAAAAAAAAAAAAAAAAAAAAAAAACACCACCGTAGGAACAAAGCGTCACCTAATCCTCAATAATGGAAACGGCATAGCGCAGCGCTTGCATGCACAGTTCGTTATAGACGCAAGGACGCTGGCAAGACTCCTCTGTGTGTGCGCGCGTGTGTAAATATACACACTAAGTCAGATGTACGGAGAAAAAGCATCATGTATGGCGACAAGTAAATCTCACGCGTATAGCACGTACGAGAGCAAATTGCCCGTGAATATCCTCGCGTCGAGAAAGAATGCGAGGATTTATTTGCATAACTAGTTCGCGAACTGACGCGAGGCTTTTATAATGTTACACCACGCTGATGAATACTAAAACGAAGAAGAAGACATGGCCAAACCGCGATACGGTTTTGCTTTGTATTACCACCTAATGTTTTAAATGCGACTTTTTTCTTTTTCTTTTTTTTTTTTTTTTTTTAATTCCCCATTCAGTCAACTGCGTTAATGAATCCAATGTGCGTTCGTTTGATGACGATTTTTGGGCATCGCGAAAGTGTATGAAATCAGACTCGCAAATTCAAGGCTAGAGTCAGTATGTCCATTGCTTTTCTTTTTAAATGGAGACACCATCAATTTTTCCACCATGAAGGCTTGGCTGCGTGTACTGCACGCGAGAGAAAACAAGAGACTCGGAGCGCTGCGAGCAATGAAGTGGAGTGTTGACGCAATCCATTGAAAAATGGAGGAACTGACACGCACGCGGGAATGACTCCTCTTTCTCTGCAATCGGGCTCTTTTTTACAGGGCCCTTGCGCAAACGAGTGCCGTCACCTCGATTTTCCGATTTGAGCGAGTCGTTGTAGCTGTTGCGGCACCGAGTTTATGACCATTTTTTTACCAACAAATGGACAGTTTTGTTTACCGAAATATCGGAAATATCGACTCATTCGATGACTGTCCATCGTCAAAAACGTCACACGATATAAGTAACCCTTTCCAGCACACACACCAGCAAAAAGAACATCGACCTCTCAACAGCTCAACAATGAAAAACTAAACACGGAGCAAGCTATTGAGTCAGAGTATTTATAATATCAGCAGTATCGTACGTATGACGACGCATTTACGCGCCTTTACTTACCGGTCTATCTATCTATCTATCGGTCGAAAGTTGCGCGTCCAGTTTTACCCATATGCATGTAGGTATATTTTTATCCGAGAGCACTCGGGGCGTATAATATAAGTAGCCGCAGCATGACACACATACAAGTATATTTTATACGCAAGTTTGTAAAACGGCTTGCAGCAGCAGATCGAGAGTCCGTTCCCCTTTCCTGCCGTGTACAAGTATACGGGTACAACGTGATATTATGCGAGTAAGCGCGCGAGCGGCTCTCCTTTTTTCTTTTTTTTTTAGGGCGGACACGCCTGGCTTCCGCTTGGGACCGGATTTCAGGCCCTCGGCCTTCTTCCCCCACCCCCACCCCCCTCTTTCGGCTTCGTCAACGTTTGCTGGCTCGATGACTCTGATGAGTCGATTTTCTGTGTGTATACCGATCTGCTGCCACAAAGTGTGCACGTTTTCTTTTGTCTTTATTAGCGTCGTAATTTTTTTCTTTCATTAACAGTGAATCATAGATACATAAATAAGGGATACTGTTTATCTCTTCCTCGCAACTTTTTTCCACGCGAAACCACACCAGCCGATCGGAGTACCGATTTTTGATCAACAAATCGAATCTCGTAACGAATGAAAAACAGAGCCTATAAACGCACTACCTTTCACGCCCATTACTCGACTCTTTTCCAGAGAGATAAATATCGTACGCTCCATCTTACGCTTACCGATTTCTATACATACTGCATCCGCCGCCTAACACACGGCGATGACCATAGGATTCCGTATGAGATTGCGTGCGGCGTGACGCAGCTTTGCGCAAGATCGAGGGTCTCGGATGACAGCCGCTGGCCTGGAAAAATTATGTTATTCTCTCTCTCGGCTGCTGTTCTTTGTAATTATCCGCCCATTATCCGCGATCTTTTTCTCTTTGTTCATATAGTGTGTTTTCGATCTGGATTGCCGTGCAGCGCCATACGGAGGGAAATATTGATCCTTGGTTTTTTGATGTGTTCACCCGCGTCGAGTATGAAGACGTTGGCTTACGTTACCGATCTATCGGCGATGACAACACACTTCGAAACCGGTTTTTTTTTTTTTTTTTCATCCTCGAATGGTCGAAAAAAACCATGAGAGATTTGAAAAATAGTATTTTCCTTCTGTTATCTCGAGTGTAGCTCTGAAGCACGATTGTCAAGCTCGTCCCGATATATCCCCGATAACTCGTCAGTTTATATCTTATCGTACATCCGAAATCGAGGACAATGACATCACTTCTTCACACACTTTTGAGCTTTTCGGTGGAAACTCGTGTTTATTCTCTCTTTTTGCCATAAAACGACTACACGACTTTTATTGCGAGTGTATACATACATATAGAAGCGAACAATCGTCCTCAGAGGATGAATAAACATAAAATCGACGACATTTTCCACGAAGGCATTAAAATCAAACGGCTGTACAGAAATACCTCCGGCCCCGCGCTCTGCATACCATTAGAAAAAGCGAAGCCAGCGCCGCAGCCTGTGTGACACAAAAGGTGAAATAAAAATCTATACGTAAGTATATACGCAAACGAGCAGTCAGGGGGGTCCGTAAAGTCGAGTGTACGAGTATAATAAGCCTCGCACCTGAGGAGAGTAAGGAGAAAACTATCGATATTACTTTGTATGTATGTATATGCGTTCCCAAAGTGCTGTGTGGTATTTGAAATTTACGAGTTTCGGAAATTCCCCCTTTGATTATCCGAGTGTGTGCCATGGGTTTTCACGTCAGTGTGTCGTCGTGGCGAATATCGACGTTTCTCTTTGACCCGCCCGAGCAGCTGCATTGGTATATATTTATACTTACTCGTTGCTTTTTTTTTTTTTTTTTTTTTTTTTAAAAA